TTTCCCCCCCCCCCCCCGGGATTATTTTAACCCTGAACAACTCTTCATTCAGGACTATGAGGAAGGGAGGTCACTGGATAAAAATACCTTTGATTTGCTTGATTAAATCTGGTATTCTGATGTAAAAGAATACCAAAGTAAAGAAGCAAGCAAGCATAATTCCCTTTGGCCTCCAGACAGGAGCTGGGGGAATGGGGTACCAGAACAAAAAACCTAAGGAGAAGAAAACTAAAACACTTTCTGCTAGAGAAGAGATAAATTAAACTGCCTGGATCACATACCTAGCATGTACTATGTATCAAAAGCAAACAGGGACAGGCTAAAAAGCAGATTAAAAAACCCACTGAAGCAGATAGCCTTACATGTGAGTCACTACTCCAACATGAGAAAAACAACTTTTTCCTTTGCAGATCTGAAGCCCAGACAAACAACAGACATTAGGTGAGCTCCTCAGAGGATCTAGTACAGTTTTATTGATTGAACCCAAAGATCGAATTAAGTATTCTTAATAGGCACCTTTAAAGAACAGAGTGATTTACTACCAGCAATATATTAGAGAATTTATTCAGCTGAAAGCTTTAACTACTCTGAGTCAGCAAGTCTAATCAAAGTGCTTACTTCTTTTTGTCTTGATATCCTCTGGAATGCTATTAAACATTACATTAGTCCCTGACAATACCTGTGAGATACTGTGCAAATTATCCATTATACAACTACAATGACAGGGAGCTAAGAATAAACACAACCAGGTCAAGCAAATAAGGAAATACTGAAATATATACCAACCTCTCTGAATTTTTGGAGGTATAACTTCAAAGGTTCGACATAGCTATCAAACCCCAAGGTAGACATGGCAAAGAGAATATCCTCTCCATTGATGGTCTTTCTTTTCTCTTGGTGACACCTCTCACTTGCTTCTGACGTTATAAAGCTGATGAATTCACTTACACACTCTTGCACGCATTCCTTTGCGTCCTTAGCAATCTAGTAAGGAACAAGCATCATAAAATGACTAATCAAGATGCAAGAAGATTTAAAAAAAAAATGCCAAAAGAACACACTAGATAATAAAGTACACATCCCCAAACCTGATGGTCAGTACCTATTTAGGCAACATCTGTATGTGAGGGAACCACTGGATGTCATCACTGCTCTACGCAAGCACAGCTGCAATGATTTTAACCGAAGTTTTACTATTTCAAGCAGCACAGCCAACCGACAGGATCTCCTGAAGTCATAACCACATTCTGTACAAGCTTTTACATACAGACGGATCTCAGTATCGCTTATTTTGCTTATCTGTGCTTTCTCTTTAAACCTGTTCATTACAATGTCATAGCCTACTTCCATCTTCCTTTGAATAGATCCAGCAGTTCCAACCCCACTGCAGTACATTCCCACAAATTGGCAGTGACAAGTATTTTTATCCTGACCAGATTCAGGGACTAGAATATATGCCTAGCAGCAAGCCTCTCTGATGCCATAATATTCTGGTATAAATTTTCCAAATGACAATTCAAATGAAGAAACATATGCCCCTGGCAAGAATGAATTAAGTAAATCTGGTTATGGTTTTCAGCCGGACAAAAGTAATTTACGTGACTTAAAAATAACAGCAAGCATTACTCATGATGATTTGGGAAACTGACAGGAGCCATCTGAAAGACCATAATAATTAATATTCTTGTTCTTCACATGAAAAGGACTCATATTTAAAAAAAAAAATAATGAAGCAGAAGCCATCTGCAGAATCTTCACTAGTTCCTCTGATATTTTCAGACACATAGGGTGAGATTTTCAGAAGTACTCATCAGCCAGCAGCTTCCCTTGCAGTTTTTCACAAAAACCTCCCTGATTTTTCAAGATAGCTCGACATCCCATATGCTAAATTCTTGAGAAAAATCTCATCTTGATCACCAAAAATTTATGATAATATGGACTGGTGAAGAGACTTCTGCAGCAAAGATATAAATGTAACACTCAGATCTCCAGAAAGCCCTGAACGCTATGAAAGTACAAGCAGATGCAAGTAAATTATGTCTTGCTTCTATTTAGAGTGATCTCAAAAATAAGAAAAAAAACCAACAAAATGGCTTTAGCTACAGGAAATGTTACTGGGGCAGGAATTGTACTGGAATACAATAGAGAAACAGCAAGTAATAGGAGCCCTGCATGCACAAGTTTAAGATGAACAGGTGGAACAGTCAAATGCTTATACAATCAACAGCCCAGCAGAATGGATTAAAAAGTCTGTTCTTAGAAGTAAGAAATAAAATAAGTCTTTCAATATCTGGCCTTATCTGCTACATGGTATAAAGCAGACTTCTCAGGTCATGGTGGCATTTGGCTGTGTAAAGATTCGGGCAATGGAAGACTAAGCATTTTCTTTCCTTTACGATGAGGACTGGACTTTTATTTCATCCAAAATGGTTCTCTGATTCCAAATTTCATGCACCTCAGTAACAGCAGATTAAATTTCATAGGAGAAAATTGCATCGAAAGTATTCTTACTGTTACAGGATTGTCACCGAGTCTGACCTGTTATGACGATGTCAGAGAACACACCTTAGACACAGCAAGCTCTTGAAAGCCCTATGAAGACCACTGTTCTGGATATTCTAATTACAGCAGTTACTAAAAGCTTTCAACAATCTAAGGAAAATGGACTTGGCCTCAATCCTCAACCTCCTGCTCAGATTTTTTTTTTTCCCTTTTCTTTTGTAAGGTCTTTCTCCAATAAACCACGATCGTTTGGAAAAATACATTGTTCTACCAGCTTAAGTTCATTCAGAGGAAGGAATAAAACTTATTAACACACTTTCTTTACCAGACAAGGGTGTTACCTTTCCTGTTTGGGGTATGGCATTTTTCATTATCCTCGCCACATTTGCAATTGGAAGATATATATCTTGTTCTCTAAAACTCTCTTTTGAGCCATTTGTATCTTCATGATCATTCATGCTGTCCTCTGTGTCTAATGAAATAAAGAAAAGTTAGCAGAAATTGTATTTGATACAGCAGGCAATAATTAAGTCAGTTTAAAATCTTACACTGGAAGATGAAACCTTTGAAAGCAGAGTGTATTAACACTGCAGAAAATAATTTTTAAAATAGATGTAACACCAGGCTACCTTTATGGGTGTTCGTATCATCTTTATCATGCTACGCACAGAAGTGTACATGGCTGCTGAACATCAAGCATTCTTAATGTCATGTCAAAATAAAAATTGTTTCCTAGAACATGATTTTTTTTGTCATCACCCTGAAGGACTCAGAGTCAGCACTGAAACATCCAACCTCCACCTTCAGACTGCAGAAAAAAATGCTTTATACAGCAAGGCATTATGAACACAAACAGCAGCAAACTCTTAGCTTGACAGCAGAGAACTAGACAAGACCTGGAAGGAGATATATGTGTGTGTATATATATATATGTATGTGTGTATATATATGTACATATATATATATATACACACAGAGAGAAATACTAGTATTTACTGTGACATTTCTTACCATCATGAGGCTGTATCACATAGTGACTGCCACCAATGTAATCTCCAGCAATTCCTAACTGAGAAGCATCTGTTGTGGAGCTATCACCATCCATCTACAAGCATAAGAAAGTAACTTTTCAGGTATGTTTGTTACAGTGTAACTGCAGCTATTGCTGAAAACCAGCACTTTACTCAACTTAGAACTACAAGACCAATTTAAACAAAGTATAAATATTTTGCCATTTGAGAACAGTATACTCTCTCGTTACTGAGCTTTACTGACCGTGAAAATAGTGAAACTCTTTTGTGAAGCTTCCCTAAAAATTCAACCACAGAAACATTTGGTTCATGCAGCACATACAGAATCTTGTGTCATTCCCATGAGAGTCTGACCAAAACAGGTCACGGCATCTGTTTATCTGAACCACCCTCAACACTTAATGCCAGCCCACTGCTCACTGAACACTTT